TAGCTTATTTAGAGGGTCAAAAATAAGAAAAACCAATTTTTCCCCATAAAACCCCGTCCCCATGGTCCAATCATGCTGGTTTGCAAACACATTCAAGTTTAACCCACCTTACACCATCAAACCAAATTTCTTCAAAATCGGACAAAAATTACTCAAGTTATCATGTTCACGGACACAAATATATTAAAATATACAAGTTAATAGGCTATACTTAAATAAATCTATATATATATATAACTTAAAACTTTGACTTATAACTTTTATTTCACGATTCTGAATCAACCAATTGACGGATTTTCATGATTTTTGTGTTGAAAGAAAGATAATTTTAAAAACTAGGGAATGTCGAAGCCATAACTTTTGTTTAGGGGTTCAGTTTTTTTAAATTAATTTTTAGTTTCTAAAAAGTCTAACAGCCGACGCTAAGTTAGCAATTCAATTTCACAGAGCTGGTTTAACTAACAGTTGGTTTCTGTCATTAAAATGTTTATGTTGGATTAATATGTTAAGCTAAACATCTTAAAACCTATTTCTATTGTACACTTTAGGCTATATTTTGAAGAAATTGTCTAACGTATTTAACAAAAAATAAAGGACATTTTGATTTGATTTGTTACAAGTTGTTTGTTAACAAAAATATTGATCGTTTGCCTACATACTATTTCACCTTTAAATGTAGGCTAGTTGTTTTTACTTTCTCCCCCTATACCATAGTATATGGAGAAAGTATTGTTTTCGTCAAAATTTTCGAGTTTGAGTTTTGAGTGGATATATTCGTTTTGGGTCCCCCTGGACCCAAAAAAGTGGTTTTCGAAGTGATGTCTGTGTGTGTGTGTGTGTGTGTGTGTGTGTGTGTGTGTGTGTGTGTGTGTGTGTGTGTGTGTGTGTGTGTGTGTGTGTCTGTGTGTCTGGATGTGTACAGAGCTAGAGACTACACCTGTGGTCCGATTTCGATGAAATTTGGTATTTAGGTTCTAATCCATGGTATCTCCAGGCGTTTTTTTTCATTTTTTTGAAATTTTGATTTTTAATGGGGATTTTCCCATAAAAAACCGGAAAAATCAAATTTTCTCAAAAATGGCCCGAACGATTTTGATAAAAATTTAGTAAGTTGTAGCCCTTTAAATTCTGAACAAACTGGTAAAAATCCCATTTCTCTAAAAATTACGGTTCAAAAGTTATGGTAAATTATGTTATTTTCCCATAAAAACCCCATAAAATAACGAAAAATAGGATTTTAGAAATAAATCCGGTTTTTATTCAACATAGTACGTTATGGTCCTTACAATTTTGATAGTTTTTTCAATTTTTTAGAAATTTTGATTTTTAATGGGGATTTTCCCATAAAATAACGGAAAAATTGGATTTTCCCAAAAACGGCCAGAACTATTTTGATAAAAATTTAGTATTTTATGGTCTTTTATATTCTGAACAAAATGGTGCAAATCCCATTTCAGTAAAAATTACGGTTTAAAAGTTATTTTAAATTATGTTATTTTCCCATAAAACCCCCATAAAATAACGGAAAAATCAGATTTTTCCAAAAATGCCCCAAACGATTTTGATAAAAATTTAGTACGTTATAGTCCTTTAAATTCTGAACCAAATTGTACAAATCCCATTTCCGTATATTTACTCTCACCGCTTACACATGATAAAGGTTGTTAACATACTTATGGGAGAAAGTATGTGTCAGAATGCTGATACCGTTTATTTACAGTAAAAGATCTGCGTTATCAGGAGATATGTAATTTTGAACTTAACATCTCAAAGGTATAGCCTATAGGGCCTAAGTTAATCAAGTTTTGTCATAAATGCAATCTGAGAAAGTAGCCTACCTATGTAAGTTGATGCCATGATATTTTCGCCTAAAAGTTAATCTTTTAAGATATAAGTGGATTACATGATGGTACATCTTTTTCTTGCTGTTCGAACGTGTATGATGGCATAGCCTACCAACATTTTTATTCGTAATGAAAATGTCAACTGGTGTAGTAGGTTTCTAGAAAACTGTCCATATAATGCATAATGGAATATGTATATACATTATTGTTGTGTTATATACATTATTCAAGGCGGAGGTTCGGTATAACTTACTTAGCAATATATTAGCAATAGTTGACATATTTGTACATATTATTTTTTTTCCTTTTGAAATATGACAGGAACATTTGATTTAGCAATTTGATATAATTATTAAGAAAACTGACGCAGTTAATCCAGTAAACCTGGTCAAAAACGAAGAGATGGTATTAAGTATTAGGTATTATTAGCTAAGAAATTAACAATTTGAGTAAGGGCCTAGCCTAGGCTATGAATCAAGCAACCAACATACAAATTGTGTAAGCTTAGCTCAATTTTAACTTACACTCAAGCAATAAACTTAAGTTAAGGGCTGCACTTTACTTTAGGTCCTACACTCATTCGATTCAAAATATCGATTGATATATCGATTAATCGATTGTTTCATTCGATATATCGTTTGGTTAGTTTAGGTAAGGTTAACCTAACCTAACTGACCAAACGATATATCGAATGAAACAATCATATAATCGATATTTTCAATCGAATGTGTAGGACCTAAAATAAAGTGCAGCCCTACTTAACCCTCAGAATGTTATGTGGTTTTGTGTCGAAATTTCGACTCACAAACACTGTTTACGGCGAAGGCTCTATGACTGACAAAATCGGATTGAACTGGATCGAGTTAGGTATCGTTTTATTTGGCAGATTCTAAGCTTTATCCCGAGGTCTGTCTCTAAGCGCTTTTTTCTCTCAAGCCGATCTTAATTGTAGCAGACAGCTGACGTGCGTATTTGTAAACAGCTTGGTTAACCTCGCACCGATGACTGATGTGTTTTATTACGTTTATCATTGTTTTAGTGTAAAAATCAAAAGTAGTGATATACGTGGTGCATTATAAGAAGATTTAAGTGATTTTGAAGGGCTGGTTGATGATCCTGAAGAAGTAGGTAGTGATATTGATGTAAATTATCAGCCAGATTCCTAGCTATGGTTAGGCTATGCATTCTTAGCTAAACGAAATGTACCGAAATCTGTTTTTGCCCATAACTTATTTATTTGCAAATCTTCTTCCTTACAATTATTATATTTTTGGAATCCTCATAAAATTTAGAACAAAGTGGCTATTTTCAAATATTTATAGGCCTATTACCTATTTATACAATTACATTGAGCGCAAACTTTTTATTTTTTGAAAATTTTCCAAAATAGGCCTATTTTTTTTGCTAAAAAATTTTTTTGAAACAAATTTTCGGCTGCACTTTACTTGACGTCCTACACTCATTCGATTGTTTTTTTTTTCGATTCAATATTTTCATTCGATATATCGTTTGGTTAAATACAACGATTAAAATTACCTTAGGTTAGGTTAACCTTACCTAACTAACCAAACGATATATCGAATGAAGCAATCGATTAATCGATATATTGATCGATATTTTCATTCGAATAAGTGTAGGACGTCAAGTAAAGTGCAGCCAAATGTTCCTTATGTTTTATGTACCTATAATATTGAAGCCCATGATTTTCCAAACAAAATGGTATATAGAACAGTATAATTAACTTTGTTTTTAACCCTCCGAGTGTCCCTTGTTTTGGCCTTAATGTCTGCCTATTTTTAGCTCATTTGCAAGGTTTTATTAAAACGGATCTGAGAAGCTTAAAAACAATGTTAATTATACTGTTCTATATACCATTTTGTTTGGAAAATCATGGGCTTCAATATTATATATAAAACATAAGGAACATTTGTTTTAAAAAAAAATTTTAGGTAAAAAGAAAAATTATTTTGGAAAATTTTCAAAAAAAAAAAATATAAGTTTGCGCTCAATGAAATTGTATAAATTATAGGCCTATAAATATTTGAAAATAGCCACTTTGTTGTAAATTTTATGAGGATTACAAATAGGCTATATAATCATATAAACTTAGTGAGGTAAGTTATCAAATAAATAAGTTATGAGTGAAAAACAGATTTCGGTACATTGCGTTTAGCTAAGAATGCATAGCCTAACCATAGCTAGGAATCTGGCTGATAATTTAGGCCTACATCAATATCACTACCTACTTCTTCAGGATCATCAACCAGCCCTTCAAAATCACTTAAATCTTCTTATAATGCACCACGTATATCACTACTTTTGATTTTTAACACTAAAACAATTATAAACGTAATAAAACACATCAGTCATCGGTCCGAGGATAACCAAGCTTTTTACAAATACGCACGTCAGCTGTCTGCTACAATTACGATCGGCTCGGAGAACATACAGCGCTGAGACAGACCTCTGGAGAAAGCTTATAATTTAACGAAAAGAACGATACCTAACTCGATCCAGTTCAATCCGATTCAGTCAGTCATAGAGCCTTTGCCGTAAACAGTGTTCGTGAGTCGCTGCAGCGACGCATGACACTCGGAGGGTTAAGCTTCTCAGATCCGTTTGAATAAAACCTTGCAAATGCGCAAAAAATAGGCAGACATTAAGGCCAAACCTAGGGACACTCGGAGGGTTAAGTTTTAAAGTGTGCACTAGAAACGTAGAAAAGGATGAAGGCGGCACACACATGGATTTTGAGACAAAACCTATATTCACACAATTAGTAAAGAACCATGTAGGGGTCTAGGCCTACTTTTCATGAGAGCAATTTCAATCCATGTAGGCCTAGGCCTACGCCTAGGTTTATATAGAGTTGTGTAGGTAAGAAGTGTAAGTAAAAAAATTGTATAAGCTCTTGATTAATAAGCCTAAGAACTTTTATAAAATTTCAGGGGGCTAGGCCTACGTTTAGGGGGCAAGAAGAAAGTTCAAAGCCAGTGGTGAGGTACCAACAATAGATGAGATTTTTAGAATTAGCAATAAATTTCATTTAATTCATACTAAAGTGAATAAATAAAATAAGAACCAACAAAGCAACTTGAAACTAGACAAGTCCTAGGCTACGGTAAGTTCACCTACTGAGTCTTATGACAAAATTACCTTGTAATGTGCTTTATCGTGCGTGCTCTGCTTGAAGCTTTATGTACCGTGGGTATCTTACTAAGCTAGTGAAAAAACTAATAATATATACTTCGAAATAAAAGGTAACCAACCAAAATGTACTTAATGTAATATAAAAAAACTCAACCACGCCACGAGCTCGGGAAATTATGCTTTCTTTCAGTTCAGTTTTTCAGTTCAGCCTCGAAGTCGAAAAAGATCCAGATCCAGATCCAAGATCCAAGAAAAAAAAACTGCCAATTATGTGCCGGAAACAAAAATTGGAGGTAAATTAAATTCTACTCAAGTAATTAAGAGCCACTAAAGGCATACGTATGAAAATTCTCAAAAATCGCAGAGTTGTTTTAGCGAATTTCCCTATAGGGAAGTAGCTATTACCGTAAGTGGCACGGCAAGATCTAGGCCCGAGACCGATTTACTTTTTGATTTTGATGAACCCTAAACCCTAGAGGGCAAAAACACCATTTGTTCAAATATATATATATATATGTCCGTGAACGCGATAACTTGAGTAATTGTTGTCTTATTTTGATGAAATTTGGTTTAAAGGTTTAAGACGGGATAAACTTGAATGAGCTCGCAAACCAGCGTGATAACATGGGAACGGGGTAAAAACCAGTTTATGGGGTAAAATTGGGTTTACTAATTTTTGACCCTATGGCCTGTAAACACAAAATTTCCCAATTCCTCTCCCTTTTTATAGAGATTTAAAACTAACCCATAACAGTCAGTACTGGGAACTTTAATGGAAATATTAGGGAACAGAATACGGGTCTGACTTAGGGGAGGTACAAATGAGGCATTTAGTTCAAAATTCCTCCGTGAACAGCGCTGTAGTAGAGAGCACTTTGGCAATAAAGGTTTACTAATCTCAAAAATAGTTCTGTTCATAAAATAAAATTATAAATGCCTCAAATTCAATTTTACTATTTTTTTTATTATAAAATTAAACTATAATAACCTAACCGAACTAACCAAACTTGCTGATAAAGAAATAATATAACAACAGTTTAGTAATCGGAAAAATAATTCTGTTTATTAAATAAAACTAGAAATTGCTGAATTAAAATTTTATAATGACTTAATAATAAAATTAAACTGTAATAACCAAACCAAACCAACCAAACTTGCTGATAATAAAAAAATCTTGGACAAAAAGTTAATGCTACCAGCGGGATTCGAACCCGGGACCTACAGTATATCAGCCCGGCACGCTAACCATTAGACCACCGAGGCCGATGGCTTACGAACGTTTTTTTACGGTAATGGCGTTCCCTCAGCTAATAAGAAGCCCTCAGCTGTCATCGTAGCCTCTTCTATACCTCCCCTGAGTAAATACCACAGAATACAAGGGTGTCCCGTTAATTCCCTCGCACGTTTCTACGAATGGACTTAATCTGAAATTTCTTAGATTTTTCTTTCACATCAACAGGCCATTCCAGCATTCCAGTTATTGAGGTTTTGGGTCACTCAGGTCAGTTCACTTTCCCGTAGTTGCGAGATCGCGATTGTCGATTGTCCTTTAATTTCCAACCTAAATACTGTCTTCATTAATTCATTTCACGTAGTAATCACAAAAGAGAACCAAACTAATATTCTGCTGTTGATAACACTATTCTATTTCTTGTATTAATTTATTTTATTTAGTCGTCGGATTATACTTTTTGAAAGATTTTTAGACAAAACAATCCAAATCACTGTTTTGAATGATATTGGACACGTTTCTTTAAAATTGTACTAAAACGTCACTTACCAAAGACCATAATGTGACGAGATAATACGTTATCTGAAAACAAATGGCGACCCTTTTTAGAGTAATAATCTTCCTACCAACTTTCAATTATATTTTTACGTTATAGCTTTGACTATAAATACAACAACATAGTTTATTTACTATCAGTGAATAAACGGAACTAGCTGCTGTGCCCGTGCTTCGCAACGGGAAGATGTATCAAACGTCCATACTGCCTAATCCAGACACCTTGTTAAGTAGATTGAATTTTTAAACAAATAGCCATCAAATGTTTACAAAAATGTATGCCCTACATTGTAATTACCCTAATGTTTATATTAAAATATATCAATAACATAAGTTATATAATTTTTCTTCGTTTCAATAATCAATTGAATAAATATGTGAGGGAATTTCCGTGTGTGTGTCGTTTTCGTTATCTTATCGCCAAAGATAGTTCGGCAGTGCTGGGTTTAAATTTCCAGGGGTCGATGTGAATCAACAAAATATTGTTGATGTGAAATTCCACTCAATATTAAATTCGTTTCAAATAATCTAAAGTATCGATCGTCTGTGTTTAATCTAATTCCTTTATTGAAATGATAGGGTAACTCAGTGAAATGTGCGAACCAGTTGTCGCTATTCACTCATCATCGTTACCCTATCAGACGCGAGAGAAAACGTTGTCGTGTATAACCAATGTGTCGTGTTATCTGTTAATTCAATTCTCGCGTTAGAATCTATTTCAAGAATTAGGTTCGATAGCTTGTACAGCTAGTTAGGATGCTGAATGTTCTTCGAGCAAACTAGGATCGGTATCAAAGGTTATAGGACCAAACTAAACCTTGCTACGCTCCGATCGTTACCCTAACCCCACGCAAATGCGCTCTAAACAACAAAGAGGTTAAGGATATATAGCCTGCACAGCTAAATAGGATGCTGAATATACTTCAGCAATCTAGGAAAGGTTACGGTAGGTTAATCGTTACCCAAACGCCCGTATAAACCTCGTTCGCGACCCTAAACCCCACGCAAATGCACTCTAAACAACAAAGAGGTTAAGGATAGATAGCCTGCACAGCTAACTAGGATGCTGAATATACTTCAGCAATCTAGGATAGGTTACGGTAGGTTAATCGTTACCTAAACGCCCGTATGAACCTCGGTCACTACCCTAAAGCCCACGCAAATGCGCTCTAAACAACAAAGAGGTTAAGGATAGATAGCCTGCACAGCTAACTAGGATGCTGAATATACTTCAGCAATCTAGGATAGGTTACGGTAGGTTAATCGTTACCTAAACGCCCGTATGAACCTCGGTCGCTACCCTAAACCCACGCAAATGCGCTCTAAATAACAAAAAGGTTAAAGGTAGATAGCCTGCACAGCTAACTAGGATGCTGAATATTCTTCAAGTAATCTAGGATAGGATACGGTAGGTTAATCGTTACCTAAACGCCCGTATACACCTCGTTCGCTACCCTAACCCCACGCAAATGCGCTCTAAACAACAAAGAGGTTAAGGGTAAATAGCCTGCACAGCTAACTAGGATGCTGAATATCCTTCAGCAATCTAGGATAGGTTACGGTAGGTTAATCGTTACCTAAACGCCCGTATAAACCTCGGTCGCTACCCTAAACCCCACGCAAATGCGCTCTAAACAACAAAAGGTTAAGGGTAGATAGCCTGTACAGCTAACTAGGATGCTGAATATACTTCAGCAATCTAGGATAGGTTACGGTAGGTTAATCGTTACCTAAACGCCCGTATAAACCTCGGTCGCTACCCTAAACCCCACGCAAATGCGCTCTAAACAACAAAAGGTTAAGGGTAGAGGGTAGATAGCCTGTACAGCTAACTAGGATGCTGAATATACTTCAGCAATCTAGGATAGGTTACGATAGGGTAATTTGGATAACTACGACCCCCACTATCCTTTAAAGATCCCAATTAATCAACAGGCTAACGCTAGCTAAGTGAGCACTAAAACAGCTACCCTTAGCTATTTATAAAACAGCTATTCAGATGTGTAGTGAATACAAAAGCAAAACTGAGCAAAATCAAATGCTATATCGCTAGTCAATGTCGAGGATCCAATCACTAACAACTATAATCGACGGCTAACTATAAACTATTATTCCGGTAGTAGATTCGGTGTTAACTTCGATAGCTATCGATTTCAATACGATCGATAGTTCGGATCAGACGCAAAATAATAACAAAACGTCGAGCAAAATACTGTTGTGTTGTGCGTGGCAAATAGGTTATGTCGTTATTAAATCGTAAACACCTTATAGCTAATTAATTGTGTCTCGTAACTCTCTCTACGTTGAATTAAGTACCAGAAATTCGTTAAGCATACAAGATAGGGTAGGAGGCTATAGAATGGCGTACACGGGAAACGGACAGAGGAGCGCAAGTCGTAAAACTGTCAACCCCTCGGCCGAAGAATTCGTCGGGGTAGGACCAAGGAGCGCAGAGGTGCTTGCGCTCCTTGGTCCTACCCGTGCAAGGAACTAATCCCTTACTTACGAGGGTTGAACAAGACAATGCCTGCGAGTAAATCCCATTAGTCCCGCCTCACTGATTACACCATTGATTCAGGTATATTTTTCTAGTGCAACTTATTACCAAACTAATGTATCAACAAATTACCAGGCCGTAAACTTTCACTTTCGAATTTAAATTGCAATATAAAAGCTGATCCTTCAGTTGAATGTTAAACCACATTTAGATTTTTTTTATTTTATAAAAATGGATTTTAAATAGGCTACTTTTTAATAATTGCGACTTGATTAAGGTAGGTGACTTTAGTCTTCATGGTGTAGATCTAAAATCAATGAATGGAAATTATTGTAAATTAGTAAGTTTATTCACTTTTAATAACTGCTTTAAACAAACATGATCTTTGAAAATAAAGGGGTATAGCACCGTTAGTTTTACCTTAGAAAAGGTGTTGAACCCTATGAAAATGTGCAAATTTGCAATGGGACCCCTCGCTATGAAATATACTAATTTTTATGCAGGAATGGTTTGTAAAATCCTTAGCTAACTTAAATCCATGAATACAATTAAATGCTTTCAACGTGTACCCACCATTGATAAAAAAACCTGAATTTTACATCTTAGTTTTATAGGTAAATTCAACAGACAGAAACCATCTCTTCTTTATGATATGTAAAATGCGCATATCCATTGAAGTACTTTATTTTTCCATTGATTGATAAAAAGAAAAGGTAATACAAAACATACGTACCAATACAGTATATAGTTGATATACTTTGCAGTTTCTCAGACTCGAGAGCAAGGATCGGAGTCAGAATTTTACTATGTATATTGTATTTGTGTCAAAATGATGACTTTTTATGTGGACAATTTTGTACTATTTCGAATCCCATATATTTTTTCCAAAAATACAATACGGGCCATTCTCAATTCA